ATTTTTTTGCCCTCACAATGTAATTTCAAATATACACCTTCTAGTTCCATTTTTGAAATGCCATTTGTGTCGGTCCAGGTATGGAACCCATATTTGCGTTTGGTGACGGCAACAACGCACATTCATGCTGTCTGCGTCGCCTTCTTACGCTCCTACGCAGCCCTACAGTGCTACTGTGCTATGTAGTATGCTCCAATGCGTTGTCTTTTCCTCATAAACACATATTATTATCCCTGATTAACTCGACGTCATTCGGTCGCTGAGCAGGATTATCACAAGTTCATCGTAGCTATGCTATCGCCTTCATGACAAGCGTTCGCAAAACTATATACTACGAGGTATATGTTTATCCCCGCTTATCTATTTCCTTGCCTGCATCCATAGACGACCAACGATTCGTCAGATCAAGGAGCTGGTGGCTGCTGCCAAAGGGTGAAAACAAGGACAGTACGAACAGCATATATGTGTAAGTGACGTGTATCATCCCCTTGGCGCTTGCCGTGTGCGATTGACGTCCTCTGGTGACACACCTCCCATCCAAGCATACAACGATCCATCGGCACGGCAGTGAATGCGATTCTCATCATTCCTGCAGATACTCAAATGGACATTTCGAGCCTGTCGCGTCTGGCCAAATCGGACTTTAACACGACCTTAATTGAGATTTGGCCCACTCAAACTCTTTCAAAACAAAGTAATTTTTCATCTCGCAAAATGACATTTTCTTTCCATATTTTGCCAGACGAACCCATGATCACGTACCATATCACCCTAGGGTATTCTACCACTGCCTATTTAATTGTGCAAAACATTGTGCTCCAACTATTCACTGTAAACTTGCTTTGGCACGTAGGAAATGCAATGAATCTTCGGGTCATATTTGTACTTGTAGTAAAAATCTACTAATGCATTCCCCGTTGACACTGCGCTGGCCGTTCCTTCAATGTATTATTCATGTGGAAAATACAATCGGAGCTAACAGCAAACCATCAACAGTTCAAACCACCAACAATTTTGTTTGGTAAATAATTCAAATGTATATATTCAACAAGTTGGCTCGCAGTATTCAGCATCACTTCGCATGGCCTCATATTCCAAAACAACGTCAGAGTGATCAAAATGGAAAGATAAAATGAATCCATCCGATGACTGGACGGACAATGCTATTTCGTCAATGATTATGCCGTCAAACTGTTAAATTTATGCAAGTACGACGAACAAATAAATACACAGCATGGGCGTCGCCAGAGACATGAAACATTATGTGTGAAAATTGTGAGCGTGCTCGACATGCCATACACTTCTGCTCGTGTCCTGCCGACGGCATGTAGTAATGCGCAGATAGGTTGTGTAGGTGCAAATTACCGATCGTGTTATTACAGCTAACAGAGTGCTCCATGAGAGCTGCATCCACAGGGTCAAACCAGGTTAGTAGTAAAGTTAAGGTATTTCCAAGTGGGATAAACAGGTTCATCATGTACAATGCGGACGATCATAACTTCGTTACAAAACTATCAGGTTGGAGTCTATTCTGGTGAAAGTATGCTGGGTGGCTGGTCACCAAGATGAAGTGGACAATTAATTGTTTGGGATGCACGGGGATGCAGTGGGATAAATTAGATGATTGGGTTTATCCCCACGGATGATTGAACTTATGCTGTGATAGCACTCAAGTTGTTAGATACTGGTCGGAGGGCAAGTCGTTCGTGACGACGGTGATTTTACTTACTTCGCGTGTTGTCGAAGACGCTGAGTGCAAAGGACGTGTGTCAGCGACGTCGGCAGGATCGCGTCGAGGACGATGGTCCGCGGTAGAGGCGGAGGTACGGGAAGTCCCGGTAGAGGCACAATCGGTGAGTCCATGGGATGATCGTATGGCCGTGGTCCCGAGCAGCATGGGGGGTGACCTCGACCTCGGTGAGAGGACGATGGCAGAGCTACCATGGGAGAGTCGGATGACGAAAATGCACACAAGGGATGGGAATCGACGGCATAGATGTCACAGCAGAGGCAATCGGGTGCTGGACAGGACCATTCAGACCGTCATCATGGCAGTCCATGCCATGGTCATCCGGATGACGGTTTCGATCAGGATGTTGATGGGGATCGACATCGTTTTCATCCGAATGAGCATGGGAGTCAACGCCGTTTCCGGCGAAAAGACGAGATTCTATCCCTGTCATAGCAGAGGCAACCAAGGACGATACTCGACGTTGATTGGTCCCATCATCTCCCTCCGATAGAGGACGATGACGGGACGCCATGGCGGAGGCGACGAAGCAGAGCTGGTCGTGGTTTCGCGGGTAACCATTGGCTAACAAGAACAGTGGTACTGTGGTCGAGATAGCAAATAAGCAAGTGCACGGCTGGCGCAGTGTCAAAGGGGAGTGTATCAGACTTCGAATCTGGGGGTTGCGGGTTCGAGTCCCGCGTCGTGTATTTACTTTTTACTTTACTACAATATTTCGCACATTCAACGAGAATTTATCGTCAGAGCGAGGGGGGTTCGAATACGTTGAGATATTGGAGACGAGGCCCACTGTGATCACATATCCACACACGTCGGGTGCTTTTCCCATAGTATCACCCATGTGTATTAGTGGTGGGAAAGGTAAAGGAGGACGTACAATTGTTGGGACAGTCGATAAATCATGCCCGACGTCCGCGTGAACTAGTGCTATACCAGCGGTTGCCATCACGCGGAGCGGTGACTGATGGTCCATTTGATCGGTGAAATCATGATTCTGACGCCAAAACATTGCATCGACTTGTCCAGCTTTCTTCTCAACCTCGACGCCCCAAAGAACTTGAATCTCGTGCCAGGTTTTGAGGCAGCACTTCCGAATGCGATTTTGCTTCTGGTTAAATATCCTGGCACAGAGTTATGCACTTCCACTCCAAATATCCATGGAATGTAGCTTTGCAGTACCTTGGTCGTATATGCTGGATGACCTAATGCGCTCCATGAGCGCGTTGTGATTACTTGGAAGTGACCGCAATTAACGTCTTACATTGTATGTCGGGACTATCAACCCGCTAGGATGGACGAGATGCCCCAATGAAAAATATTTTCATTTGCAGGTTTAGCCATTTAAATCACAGTATTTGGATTGGAGTTCAGAGCACGATAGCCAATCATGAAAAGGTAACCCAAATCCCGCCATTCCATTGGCTCTGCCAATGAGAATATTTCTCATCGGGACGAAGGCTGGAATATTAATAGCGATTCTGAGTATATTATTACGCTTAGGTTGAACTTGCGCTTGAGGAATATTCTCATCGACAGCTTTTCGAAGTTTAACCGGGCTTCTTCATCGATTCACTCGAGGCTTGCACCACCTATATTTACCTGATCGTTGGAGACTTGCTTGCCTGTCGACTCCAACCTGATAGTTTTGTAACGAAGTTATGATCGTCCGCATTGTACATGACGAACCCATCGGTGGCGTGTACCTCGTCTCCAACAAAGCAAAATGGCTGGTTGAATCGCTTGAAAGACCGACTCAACAATTGTTGCCGCCAGTACCTGAGTTGAGGTCTACAACAATACAACGAAGCAGTGACATACAGACATACCCCCTAAAAACTACAACAACCTCTATATTCTTATGTAATTATATTAACAGTATATCCAAGCAACCTTTACATTTAATAGATCAATTTATGTTAGCCAATCCAAATTCTAGAAGCTTGATCAACGATTACAAAACCATCTGTCAACTATTCGCACAGTGGTACCAGGAATATTTTTATAAATGTGAGAATGAACAAATGCAATCAATAGACGCTAATTTTAGCCAATACCTGACCTTCGACCTCATTCACCGTGATTGGGTACTTTGAATTTGTTAAATTGAATTTGATTGGCTTATTCGAATTTTGAGTCTCACGTGTCATATCCGAGTTTGCGATGCCGTCGACAACGCCGATACGTTGTGCGACAGATTCGTATCTTCCTCCGCATGTATGCTCTGCTTGGGCCATGCTCGAGCCTCCGACTCTTTGCCAAGTCGTACCATATCCCCGAAGCAACATTCCGACGGTGGGTCGCGAACTCGTCCAGCTACCTGGCGAAAAAGACCCATGGTCCGTGGGCAACTCTTCATGGCAAAGGACGCCTGGAATCTGTCGAGTTCTCAAGCGACTTGGTCGCATTCATGGAGTCCGTGCGGGACGGTGAACACTTCGTCACGACTGCACATCTGGTCACCTGGATGAAGTCGCACCGGCCGCTTTGGCTCAAAGCGTACATGGATGCCAAGCTCAATGATGACCGCGCATACAAGAGCCTGCTCCAATGGTGCCTGAAGTTCGCGAACCGTCATGGATACTTCCATCGAGTGCCGTGCGCTGCCAAGGCCACCCAGTCAGAGCTTCAAGTCGTACAAGAAGCATTCTCGGCGGAGTTCTTCTCAAAGTTTGGGCACCTTCCACGCCGCGCGTGGATCAAC